CTCCTGTGTAAGACAGCTTGACTACCTTCACACGCATATGGACTCATACGCCGCTCCTCCCATGCATTCTCCGGAACCCCAGGCCTTCATGAAGACGGGTCATCCGCTTCTGGATGAGCGCCAGGATACTGACCGCGATACCCTAGCCTATCGGGACAAGCTGCAAGCTGGCGACCTCACCTCAGGGCTATCTGGCTCGGTAAGGTCGGCTGCTGCACCAACTTCAGTGTCTCTAGCGGCGGCGTCGGCGGCACTCGATCGAAAATCCGCACTGTCCCAATCCGCGCCACTGACCTACCCGGTAGACTACCATCTAACGACAGTGCCCGTGCGACTTCAAACCCAGAGCGTGCCTTCCACCGGAGCCCCTCTCAGTCAGCCGCATTTGCCCTCCTCCTCCTCCCCGTCGCAGAAAGCCCCGCTTGGCTCTTCTGCTTATGCTAGTCCTATGGACAGTGAAAGTAGCCCAACGGACATTTCAAAGCTGCATCGAGTCTCCGCATGCAGTAGCAGCGCCAGTGCTGTCGCCAACGCCAGTAGTCCTAACAACGGCACTTGTAAAAGCACCGGACCTCTAAACAATAGTGCTAGTACTACAACCGTCGGTGTCCCCACCACCATCTCATCCACTGCAGTGATCTATCCATGGATGAAGCGCGTTCATTCAAAGGGTATGCGACGCTATTATTTTTTTAAAGTTTCTCATCAGTATGCCTTTGGGCTGATCGGTATTATTCGAAATTTATGGCTTTTGATGAAAGCAATTAAGAGCGATCTGCCTTATGCTGTCTGCTTTTGAGTTAGATGCAAAAACATATTGTAAACGAACGTGGCATCTGTGAATACTCCCAGGTGGGGTTCTCAAGTGAATTTAATTAAGTCATCAGCGTCAATATCAACATGATTTAGGGTTTTCAGTATAGCAGGAATTTCTTTAAAGTCGACTATTTCGTAGCGGCGAGTAAATTTTATCCTTGGTTCGTGTAATTTGTGCCAATAATTGAATGACGACTGTTCAGAGTGAGAGAGCATAAACGATATGCATTTAGAAAATAATTTAGCCTTCGTTTATTTCTAGGCGGTTGGAAAAGGGAATTGGAAGTTACATATTTAAACAGGAAATTTGGCAAATAGTTAAATGAAGTCTGAAATCTTAGAACAAAGAGTATGGTTCATGCTTCATAGCTTTGTAAGCTTGCTACCCTGCTTAGTTGGTCAACGGGGTACTGGAACCAAAATAAGATCAAAAAATCAATCGAAGGTAACGATCAGAACGAAGTAATAACTAATGCTTAACCAGCCTCAACCCTGGCACTTCTGCGTGGAACATCGAAAGCTCCTCCTCCAGAGGCTTTGAAAAAGTGCGATTTCTGACAGGTAGGTAATTTCCGAGAGGGCATTAGGGGTTAACGATAGTTTTTACTAATTTATCCGCAGACCACTATGTTTGCATAAATAATTAACCTAAAGGTGCAAAAGTGCCGTTCAGGGGACCATACGGTCTAGAAAATGAGAGCAGGTGGCTGCGTCATTAATGGGATCAGTAGCGAAAGTCAATACACGGTGTAGTGAGTTGAATGGGTACGGGGGAAGGAGGTACAATGCTCTGTGTTTTAATGGGGTTAATGTATAATACTGGACGCCCCGTGTAGCGAGATGAAACTTTGGACTGCAACTGAATTTGTTACAGGGGAAACTCCTTCACCTGCAGTTAGCTTATTAAGACATGGCTGATTTTGTTTCGTGTTGATGGGGACCTGGTGCGCGGAGTTTCGTGCCCGAAGGCAGGACGCGTAGACTAGCGTCGAACTTGAAAATAGTTCGAATTAGTATTTTCGAAAGTCAGTGTGTCTGGAGGGCCAGTTGTTCGTCGTTATACTTCAGAGAGTCTCATTCTGCTAGGTTCTTTGGAGTTCTGTCGGCACCTACTCTCCGCGTACCTCAGCGTTTCATCTTCAACTATACGAATCATCTGACTTTGCTGCATGTGCGTTGAGTAGTTTCTCCTTTCCAGACTCGTATTTACGATTGAGTAGTCTTCAGATAATTTTCGCAAAAGTCTACATTACCTCTCAGGGGAACTACAACGGAATACGAACTATTCGTATGAGTTAAAGCTACTATGAATAGAAATTTAATTACTTCGAGGTAGTAAACTATGACCACAAGTTTCGCTAGCAAGGTATATTCTCGGTAACGGAACCTGGTACCCGCGACAAAATTCATTACGTCTCATTCAGCCTGCTCTAGAATGACCCCATTCTACTGTGGTCGGCCAGCGATAGGATCCCCAACCTGGCGAAGTTATTTTATATGTCAAGTTTGTTTGGCGAAGACCTCCGCGCCAGAGCTTACCTCGAAGCCCACTTTCGTCACATCTTCGTCTAGCCACCTTACGTCGCATCGTTAGACGTATCCGTGTTCGGGCGAGATGACATCAGAAACCACATTGACTTCAGGTCATCGCAAATTCTGTCCAGTGACGCTATTCCGCAGAACCTGAGGGCGAAACGGGCCGATCGACTTTGTAGACGTCGTTTATTGGCAGGGTCAAGGAGGCGAATTCGCAGAATGGAGTTCAAGCATCACAAATCGATTGTTTCCACCTGGTGTCTATCTTATAAGAGGGCTGAATGTTTCTACTATCCGTATACAACTAATAGCTTCGCGGAAGCCTCAAATGCGTGTGGTTTAATCTTTGGACTGATATCACATGGCTTCCAGAAATTTCGACGAAGGTAAAGGGAAAGGTGTTGGCTCAGACCACAGGATGTCGGATTCCGAATGTTAACAGTCGATGACAATTTCCATCCCATGGCTTGTTCCATTCTGGTGTTCCGAACTTTATATGCAGTTTTTGCCTCAAGGAGGTCTGCTGAACATGTTGAAATGCTCCATTGGCATTGATCACAATATAACAATCTGCCTTACTTTACTGTCGCCCAGTGTTTCAGCTTTTAGATGCTTAAATTGGCTATCAGGAGTGTTCCTTTCCCAACCAATAGACCATGAAACGTCCTAAAAATGACTATTCTGCTCCCGCAGTTCGTGGTATTTCTGAAACTTTTCTGCTCACTTGCGGCCTTTATAGATACCAGAAAGATAGAACGGTACGCTCAAAGAGTGCAAATGTTTGTGCGCTCTGATAAGCGTCGAACCTGAGTTAGACGTTTCGCTTGCCGTTTCTGCAATATTTATCACTGAGAGACGGCAATCTTGCCTGATAAGAAATGCAGGTGAACCAAACACAAGAGCAGAACAAATGCATGTGATTTTTTTAAGCACTTAGTACTGCTAACGAATGAGATCATAAAGACCTACTTCTCTCCTGTTACAGGACACACTCAGAATTTGCCGAAGGTTGTGTCCTGAAACATAAATGGGAAGAGTACATCTGTGCCTGGACTGACTCCTTTAATCGCCGGTACTTTGACACACATCTTAGGAGGGAACGTTGCATCGAGCGCATTTAGGGTTTCCAGAATAAAATCAAACTGTCTTTCCAATTAGGCCATGAACTAAGTCGGTACCGTGACGCCCACTACTACATTCACGCCTATGCCAGCGTAGCACGTGTTTCGGGCAGTCGAAGCGAAAGCCCACACTTAACTCGTCAAAATCTTCCGGCATTTCGAGTACGCAGATATTAATGTGCGCAAATATTTGAGGTCCAGATATACTATTGCCTTCACCATCCCCGGAAGAGGAAGAAGAAGATGAGGCAATTCCTGAGACTAAGTTATATTTAGGCTGACGTTTCAAAAACATGCTCGTTTTCATTGTCAGAGCGTACTGCCGGCGTCGAATGAGTGTGTCTTACCGCTCGCAGATAAAAATAGATGCACGGTAAAATATACATTCTAGGCCAAATTATAGCATTTCATCTGAGTGTGCACAACGCTACCAATGTGGCATTCCTAAATGTGGCCCTTTAAAGTACTTTATACTCCACAATATGCACTGCGAGGGGTTAGTGTATCATCGATCTTATGTTTGTCTGTGCTGATGTCTCGTGTGCTTTCAGTTCCGACTTTCCCTTTTCCCAGTGCATCCGGGGGAGTGACAGAGAGAGGGGGGACACCTTTTCTGTGTTAATCTCTCTGTTGAGTCCTTATTCCACGCAGCCAGGTCCGGAGCGCGTCACCGGCAGCCGAAAAAAGATCAGAGGCCTGAGCCTTTTAGCCGTCCTCTACCAACACG